ATATATATATATATATATATATATATATATATATATATATATATATACACACACATAGTTGACAGTGCAAGAAATAAATAATAAATGTTCAGATTAAGATTAGAACATATTGACACAGCATTTGCTTCATGCTCTCTGGATTACAGCTTGCAGATGGCCCATCTTCTAATTTAACACCCAGTCTGGTGCATTTCAGCACCCTCCCTTCTACTGGAAAATGTTTTATGCTCTGCAGTAAACAAGCACAACCTATAAACTGCAAACCAAAGCTCTTACTTTATGAACCTAGTTTATCTTAACAAATAAATATACTATTTAAAGCCAGTCTTGTGTATCTAAAAATGTTATTGGACATGAAAAATGTTGCAAATATTTGATCAAAAGGTGAGTTCAGCAGAGCAGTGCAAACAAAGTCCAGCTGAGCATAAACACTACTACAAATAATTGAAATTGCAATTATTACCATGTAGTGAAAATTCTAGTGATCCATAAAGTATTTTTGGTAACACACGAATAGAATTGACTGCAACTGTAGTGGTAAAGTTAAAAAAAAAAAAAAAAAAAAAAAGCTATGTAATAACAGAGTACTTGTGAATGACTGAACTAAAACCAAACATTTTCTTTTGTCTCATTACCCATACAAGTGAATGCATTATCATTTATGCATTTCCCATGATTAGTCATTTGTAGCAACCACCTTAAATCAGAGCGACTTGAACAGTTAATCAGTTGGATAAGTAAATTTCAATGTATATTGTTCTACAAGTCTAATTTAAGTACATGTGATTTAATTTGCTTACAGACAAAATGAGTTTACTCTAAGTTGTTAATTGTACTTTTTTTTAAGCATCACACAATTTGTGCTCTGATGGATTGGATTGATGGATTCTCAGCCAATACACTTAATTTTTAGTCAATAACCAAAAAATAGACTGTTTCATATAAATTTCTGTCCATTTGTTTGTACGGTCAGTTACCTATGGTAGTCTTATATTGGGTTGTCTCCAAAGGTTAATCAGTTGTAAAAGTACATCAAATGGATCATTTCTCCTTTTCATTAAAATGCATCTATTGGTTTATGATATAAAAATAAATAAATAAATAAATAAATAAACAAACATATAAAGATGAATACACCCACAGACAAGAGCAAAAACATCACAATCTGCTTTTGTTTTTCAGCAACAAATAATAATAAACCCTATCATCCTGGATTAAATGAATTATAAATATAAACATCACTTAACAAAACCCTAAACTTACAACATGCACAATATGGACATTCTTCGTTTTAGTTCTCAGAAAGATGTTTTGGGCAAAATTAAAACGTATAAAGAATCAATATGTCATCATGTTTTAAACAGCTGGTGTCCCTAATGAAAATGCTAACACGTCAATGACATCATTTAATATATTTTTGTTCAAAATCAAGTTCATGGCATGATGTTTGGAGATAATCTTCCAAAGATTTTCTTGCAAAGCCAAACTATGTTGCAACATAAAATGAAAAGGAATCTGAGATGTCCTAATGAAACATAACAGACAGCAGTGAGTCATGAAACATATTTAATGTTTCACTCAATCTCATTAACTCATTAATATTTTTCAACTATTATAAGAGACCCTGTATAAGTAATTGCAGCTGATTCAATGATATTAATATGGCACGAACATCAAAACTTGTTCACAAAGATAATATAGATTATAATAGAGTATTAAATACTATGCTACTTGCAGATTGGTAGTATAACAAACCTAAATAAACACATCTTCATTAAACATAAACATATACAGACACCTATATGAGTAAATATGTCTCACAGTTATATCTTAACCACAAAAATCAGTAGTTTATCTCTAAATGCAGTTGAAATCCTAACTTTTTTTTTTCATTTGAGAGTACAAAATCAAGTTATATTATCTTATATCTATAAATGTTTTGATTTATATGATGGAACGAACATAGGACTCAATGAATTGCAAATGAATTGTAATTACATTGCCATATCCCTTCACATGGTTCACAGTGTCTTCTGGGTAATGCAATAAGCACTGTGGTCATGCAGCACTCTCCGTTTACCTGATGCTTCATTTCTCCACCTGACAGCTTGCTTTTCATACATCACTGAATATCTCTGCTTGTTTTCCCTCCTGTAAGTTGTCCATCTGTCTATGGTAACAGAGCACTTTTAGCTGCTTTCACATTTGATATATTTGTGGAAACATTGGGTAGTCAAGTAAAATTGTGTAATTTAATAAATGGAAGGATACTTCCAATTTTACACAACTGTATTATTATAATAGTTTTACAGTAATGTGCACTTTGGTTGACTTTGTAGCTGTTTTAAGTGCTTTATAAATAAAGTGGTATGGTATGGTATGTGAGTTTAATTAATTTAATTTAGCATAAAAAGTTTATTTATTTATTTATTTATTTCATTGATTGGATCAAAGCCCAATTATTGTCATTTGGCAAAGCATTTTTGTATAGACGGGCACATTTCTGAAGAAATATCAGTGTTTTATGTCCTGTGGAAATAAATTATGTAATCCATGTCATTTTGAAGTATTTGTCTTTATAAAACTTAAAACAAACAAAGAAAAAAAAAAGAAAAAAAACATACATGGAAAGTTTGTTAAGTGTGAATGGGTTTTACCTTCAAATTGGCTCTCTAAACTGCAAATACATGATCAAACTTAAGAGAAAATAATTTCAAACACTAATGAGAGCAGAGGATGTCTCATCATGAATTCAATTTTTTTTCACCTTTGTTACAGGATGAGAGAACTCATCTCCTGTCCTGCAGAATAACTTAACACAATTGTTCGCTGCCTTATTATATAATGTTGAAAACATTAAACCTCTATCACAGAGCACATTAACGACATAACAAAGGTGTTTATGTTAACTGTTTCATATACAAATTTATGTTTAATGTCAAAATGTTTGAAGTGGTTTCTAAGTTATCTTCAGACCAATCAGAAAAATGGTGTTGGACTTAACAGATCCTAGGCTTTATAAAAAGAAAGTGATAAGTGAATAACTTTTTTTTTGCACAAAAACTAAATTAATAAAAGTGAAAACTGCTTACCTCTGCATTACACCTCCTGCTCTCAGAGAGGCTGAGTATCTCCAGTCTGTATTAGGCACCTTGGGCTGCAAGAGAAAATGAGAGGAATTCAGTCTTAAGTACCGGCAAAGCCAACACGGTCTCATTAATAAATCATGGTGAGAACTATAGTGGATGTGCGCCACACATACAGCTTCCTCCTGCCTTTGAAGAGAAATGACTAATGAGCAGAATATTGTAATTTTGTTGATGCACACATTTCTTCCCATCAACACAACCGCTCCCTTCTTCAATCTCTGACTTTGACAAATAAGAAAGGGGCTTTGAAAGAATTTTCTCCAGTAGCCCACTAATACAGACGACCAACAGCAACATATCCAGAGTGCATCTTCTTGTGGCACAGCCTCTTTTCAAAACATTACTGTGATGCTTTACTGGTATTAAATGCATTGATAGCAGCATGAATTTAGAGGAAGTTTATTCTGCATTTGTGTCATTCATACTATAAAATGTACAAAAAAATATATCCCATAAAATAAATAAAATCAAAACACTGAACATTCACCATCCTCCTTACTATGCTGTTCCACTCTATTATTTTGCCATGATGCTGATCAAACCCTTGAATTTCACTGCCTGCCTGAGCCATTGTGACAGATATCACCATAGCAACTGCTCAGAACCCTGTTTATATTTCCCTCCACCACCCCCTGTCATCTCAGTTTTGTGAAGGTCACATGTGGAACCAAGATGAGGGAGAGGAGGGCACATATCAAATTAACCCTCTCAGCAACACAATTCAGACAGTTATGCTATCAAAGAACAGGAAACGAGAGTTCAGCAATGTTGAAACCAGTTAGAGATAAGCCCTGTTTGTTTTTGTGCTTATTGGAAATGCAAACCTAAACAACACCATTACTTTTAGATGACAGAATATATATTTTTAGTTGAGAGCCTCTTGAGAAATCATACTGACAGTAAAATGCAATAGGCTGATAATCTGACCATTTGAGCAAGATGATATTGCATTTTCTCTCATCTCAACCCCCACAGATCTGCAACAACCTGGCTAAGGACACCACATTCTCCCTGGTTCGCCACGCAGTTCATGAGAGACCCATTTGCAATCTAATTTTCTTTCAAATTTGACAGATGTTCACCTGCTACCGAAGCTGTATTGACCTCTATGAGTCTGCAGCGGACATTCATCACACTAGAAATTCAATACTCAAGCTTAATGAGAGAAGCCTGTTATTTCTCCTGGAGTCATTAAACAAAGGCAAAAAAATGTCCACAGTGAAAAATAGAGTTGCAGCATCGATACAAGAAACTGAGTGTGATTAGATAAAGACAGTTACTTATCAAAAAGCAATCAGTGTGTGGATCCATAAAAGAAAAAGAAAAAAAAAAAAAAAAACAGAATGACACTATTTGCATATTTGACAAAATACTATATATTTACTTTTGGCAAAATGCACATGATCATATCTTTAAAAACAGAAAAGAAAAGAAAAAAACAGATTGTATACTAATGGAACTGAACTGCTTTGTTTGCTCTTTATCTGCAAAGCATTGGCAAAAGGGAGACTGGTCTATTTGGCCATGTGATATTTATGAGCTGAAATATAATTACATAAACAAGGACACACACAAATGCAGTATAAAGCACCTGGAATATAAATACATCCACAGTGTAGTACAATGGATAATAAAGTGGCAAAACTGGAATGTTATCCTTTCATAGAGTAAACTAAAAGAAAAGATCTAAGCTCAAACACTGACATTCTGATTTATGTATACTGTGAAAATAAATAAATAAAGAGCAGAACAGGGCTTTGACCAGAACTGTTCTGGCCTTTTCTTATTCGTTTGCCTCTTCCTGAGTGAAAACTCCTTGCATGGAGACAGAGCCCACACCTCCGCCATCAACACTGTGTCCAATCACCTTTTTATCCCCCGCCTCATCAGCTTCTCAGCAGCCAATCCACACGCAGTGCTGCACAACACATTGCTGCTATTTAATTACACAGCAAATACAAACATGACTGGCATTTAATGAGGAATGTATTAGGTGATTGCCGCACAACAACGTTAATAGTTTCCTTATTGCTTTTAAATACATTTTCTTCTCCACTACCTTTTCTTCTCTGCAGACCAGCATAGACTATAAGGCAAATATCATTATGGGTGTTTTATGATATCAGTATTATTTGTTTAACAGTAAACATAAGTGTGTATAACTTTGAGTTTCCTTTTTTTTTAAATCAACCTATTACTTTACAAGGAAAATGCAGTAAAAACAAAAGAAACAGGATATAATGTATATTCAACTGACATCCTTTCATTGTTTTACCTATGTGCAAGCCTGCTCTTGTATGATATATGATGAACTATGATAAAGGAAACTATAGACATGAGGAACATGTAAATTGGTTCAAAAACAACATTGTAATATGTTAAGTGCAAATACTCCACTAGACGCCTAATGCAATTTAAGTATGCATAACTTGTGCTTTCACAATCTGTGAATCTAAAATGTGACATATACCACCTCAGACACACACCTGAATGGTTGTTGAATCTGGCATACTGAGACGCCGTACAAATATCTGGCTCTGCCCACTGTGGCTGGTGACATAACCCGAGCCCCAGGTGCCACTCTGTGGCCTCCCCGTGTTGTAAAACATAAACGTGTCACTTCCTGACGTAGCTGTCAAGCATGTCTTATAACAGTACGTTTTGGTCAGAGACCCATTTCCTCGCACTTCGATGTAATGAGGTTCCACCTTGAGGTCACGGCGCAGGGCCACATTGGCATTTTGCTGTCCTACTACGCCTGCACCACCACCACCTGTGGCTCTTCCCCCTCCGCCACCTGCTGAGGCACCCCCGTCAGGCATACTTCTCTGGGTGACACAACATGGGGAGCAGGAACCCTTCTGCGTGCAGTACTCGTGACATTGCACGATGGCCAGAACAAAGACTGTGACCAGAAATACAAAAGTCGTGGCGCATAGGGCTATGATGAGGTAGAGAGTGATGGGGGAAAACATTAGTTTGCTGTCATGCCTGACAATGCTCTTCATGTCAGGCGTCAACTTAGGAGGCAGCTCCATCACATGCACATGAATGGTGGTGGTGGAGGAGAGTGGAGGAACACCATGGTCACGAACCACAACAGTCAGAAGAAAGGTAGTAGAGTTATCTTCAGTGACTCGCCTTGTGGTGCGGATCTCACCTGTGTACTCGTGCACCTTAAACAGATTGAGATCTGTGCTGGTCTGATCCAAGGCATAAAACAGCCAAGCATTCTGCCCTGCGTCACCATCCAGTGCTGTCACCTTGCTAACCAGTACTCCTGCTTCTTCATTTTTCATTATTGTCTCTGTCATGTGGCTTCCATTGGCAGGAGAGACAATCCTAGGTGAGTGATCATTCTGATCCATAATGTAAACATATACTGTGGCCACACGGCTGAGAGGAGGCACACCATTGTCTTGTGCTTTAACCTGAAAATGAAACTCGTGTAGCTTTTCAAAATCAAAGGCTCGCAGGGTGTAGGCTTCACCTGTATCAGGTTTGATGCTGACAAAGCTGGCTACAGGGATGCCGTGATTGTTGTCATTGAGGATGGTATAGGTGATTCGAGCATTTTCCGCAGCATCAGCATCTGTTGCTTTGACAACACACAGAGATGCACCAAAAGCATTGTTCTCCGTTATATAAACAGTATATGAGGTCTGCTCAAAATGAGGTGTGTTATCATTAACATCTGCAACATCAACCTTGAAGGTCATTTGTGAAGAAAGGGGTGGCGTGCCTCCATCTACAGCAGTAACAGTGATGTTGTAGAATGAGATGGTTTCCCGGTCCAGGAAAGCATTTGTGACAATGGTGTAGTGGTTTTTGAAGGACTTGATCTTGAAAGGCAGATTGGGCATGATCTCTAGGCTGACCTGTTTGTTTTGTCCAGAGTCACGATCATTCACACTGATCAATGCCACCACTGTGTCTGCCCGGGCATCTTCACGCACAGGGCTGGAGAGTGAAGACAGTACAATCTCAGGGATGTTATCATTGACATCCACAACTTCTACAACTACTTTACAGTGAACTGCCACAGGGGCTGGACCCTTGTCCATTGCCTGTATGTACATTTCATAGGAGTTGGTCTCCTCATAGTCTAGATTATTTTTCACCCTAATTTCCCCTGTGAGTGTGTCCAATAAAAACATCTGTCTCACTCTTTCTGGTGTGTAACTGCTAAAAGAGTAAAATACTTCTCCATTTGAGCCCTCATCTGGGTCTGTCGCATTTAACTTGATCACAAGTGTCTCTTTTGATGAGTTTTCAGGCACTTTGACTTTGTACACGGAACTGTCAAACACAGGCACGTTGTCATTGGCATCAAGGATGCGGACATTGATTCTGGCTGTCCCAGTTCTCTGTGGTGTGCCTCCATCTATCGCCGTTAGGATCAGCTGGTGTGAGGCCACCTGCTCCCGGTCAAAAGGCTTTTTGAGTATCAACTCAATTTGCTTGTTATCAGAAAATGGTTTCATGGAGTCAAGAGTTAGATGGTCGTTTGGACCGAGTCGGTACTGTTTCACAGAGTTGGAACCTTCGTCTGCGTCCTGAGCTCCTTCAATGGGAAACCTGGACGAGGTGAGTGCGGACTCCGACACCTCCAGCTGATATTCGTCCTGGGGGAACTGCGGCGCGTTGTCGTTCACGTCCAGAATCTCCACCTCCACCTTGTGCTCCTCCAGCGGGTTCTCCAAAACCACCTCCAGGCTGAGCAAACAGGGAGCGACGGATTCACAGACAGTCTCTCGGTCAATGCGGTCACTCACCACCAGTTTCCCGGTTTTGTGGTCGATGGTGAAATACCTCCGCCCGCTGCTTGACTTGATCCTGACGCGCCGGGTGGAAAGTTTTCTCAGGTCCAGATCCAAATCTCGGATGCTGTCACCCACCTGCGCTCCATTTTCCAGCTCCTCCGGAATGGAGTATTGTAACTGTGCATTTGAGAGGCCACCGAGTGCGAAGATAAACAGGCACAAAGAAAAAGGCACATTCTCCATTAGGCTATAACAGCATCGTATCACCATGGCCATCGCAGGCAGGCAGAATTCTCAGATGAGTTGGATAAATCTGTCCGCCTTCTCAGCTTGCTGCGGGTCCCCACCCGCCTCATGAAAATCAGAGGAGTAGTCGCTGCATTGCTCTATATGCACGTAAAACACTGCATTTTGTTTTTTGTATCCCGTGTATCCGCGTTTCCCCTATTATCTGTTGTTGCAAAGCTGTCTCATCTCCACTGTTGCTGCTCCTTCTCTCATTCTCTCTGCCTGTGACGGTGATGCTGTCGGTGGGCAAAGTGGGGAGGGGGGGTTGGGCTGAAGCCAGTCGCTCTAAAGATTCTGGCTGCATTTCAGCATCTCCGATCGAACAGCAAATAAAATATAACCCTCATATAAATACTCAGATATCTTGTCTTATTAACACATATGAGTGTGTGGACACTTAAAAGGAGAGTCTGTGATTTTAAACCAGCCATTTCTTTATCGGTCTTTCTTTTTTCTTTTTTTTTGCCAGTGCCACCGCCCTATTCTGTGCTACAAAAAATGATTTATGAAGCACCCTGCCGGATAGACTTCCTCACGGCTGCCAATTACTAACTGGGAGAGCAAACCACACACAGCAACAAATACTGAAGCATTTAAAATTCAAGGGAGCAACGACTCGACACAGCTGAGTCCTAGACTGATTATATTCAATGTTTTTTTTTTTTTTTTTATCTAGTTGCAAAATCTCACGAGAGTAAAATAACTTGGTTTTGTTAAACCATAAGACAAGCAGTGAGATAACTTATGCTAATCTTATTTCACTACATAAGCAATTAAACTAATTACATTTTTTGAACCTATTCATTTTTTTTTCTTTCACTTATGCAATCATCTGTTTCACAGCAACAATGTTTTGCAGATGTATATAACTTTTACATGCTTGTGCTGTAGCTTTGAAGAGACTTTTATGCCAGAAGTTATTTCCTTCTAGCATGTAATAAAATAAAAGGAAAAAAAAGAAAGTGCACAAATGTGACGTCGTGACGTAGTTGTTCACTGGTGACCACCTTAACTGGGTCAGACAAGATGCTTCAGATGTGACCCTGTTTTACATCTGGCAAGAACACCAGGACTAACAAAACACACACACAACCACGCAGTCACACTACAGTACAGTGCACACTACAGTAGTATCCAGAAATAAAATATGAAGAGTCAAGAGTCAAAAGCTATATTTGCTATGTTGTCATAAAATAAAATTATATATATATATATAAAGTCCCATATAACAAAACAAAACCCTGTTTGTTTCATGCTCCTCTTACAAAACTGAAATTACCAGTAATTAAAGGCCTAGCACTCCTTAAAGGAATGCATATCTGAAACCTTCCATGTCCAATTGTTAAACTAAATTACTTTTTTTAATAAGAACTCATAGCGTTAATCACCTATTCCAGTATTTCACACAATCTTGAATTGATGTGTTAACAGTTTTGAACACCTCCACATCATATTTAGCTAATAACTTTAAAACTGATGTTTGCTTGTTTTTTTTAAGTTGCTAAGACAGTTAGTTGTTGCAGCCATCTTGATCTACGCTGACTCCAAAATGTAATGTGCTGTACATGTACATATGATTATTACTTTCTTAGTGTTTCATTAAAATCTGTCCACAGATTTATGAGGTATGTTGATAACAAAAATAGCTGACATCAATAGTAAATGCCAACATTTAGCACAACAATGTTGTGTAAATGTGCAGTTCTCAGAGTATATGTTGAGAATGACTCTCAGGTACAACCACACCAGTTTTTAGCTTGATATTTGTAAACCTGACTGGGTTATTTTTTTGTGTTTTCTAAGGTGATTAGTTTTAAATCAGGATTAAATCAAAAGTTAATCAGTTGTGCACTTTCTGACAGTTTTATAAAACGTATGATATTTTGTTAACTTTACAGACAAACACACACTAACACAGGCAAAACACTATTGCTATCACTGGCGAGCAATAATTAGTACTTCTCAAATGATTAAAAAGTGTTACTGAAATCTAGTAAGTGGATTGTTACCGAGTACACGTTATGTTTTTATACAGTAGACTTGGTCAAATGTGCAAAGCCTTTCCTTTCGTTCTTATATAAGAATAAAAAAAAAGTTTAAACATAAAATGCAATTAACTTCCCCACTTTTAATCATGTGCAGTGTTAAAAGGGGCACAGACAAAGTGTAAGGTGCTGTTATGCAGAATTGCTTTTGTGAAACCCTGAATCCATTTAGTTTCACCACGACGACAAAGTTGAGCATCTACCAACCATCATCGTTTCCTTTTTCTGGTGTTTTGCCACTCTCACCCACGCTACACTAGCCCACGGCGATGACAGAGCTTGGCATCCGGGGAGACGGGGGAGAAGATAGTGACTCACTTTGGTGGTGCTAAAGGATGGTCTGATATACAGAAACCTTCCTACTCAAAAAAAGCAGGGTCAAATGGGATGCTTATACTTCAGATTAGAATAACAGCATGAGCAAACATCAAGTATTGTTTACTTTTTTTGTTAATTTAATACATGTTGTCATGCACTGCATTATTATACAGCTGCACAGCTTTACTGCCTGACTGACTGACTTTCTTTACAGAAACCAAAGTGTCAACATGTTCTACTGAAATGGCAACTGTAACATTTAGCAGATTTACCCAAAGGCACATTTTAAACTTATATTTTGCAGCCACAATATAAGAAGAAAAGTGACAATTTTCTAGACAAAGACAAATACAGAACAGGTTCATTCCTTACCTTTGCACATATTGAACATATATCTCTCCTACCAGATTTTTTTTTTCTTTCCTCATGCACATTATAGACATTTGTAACTGTAATGCCTGTACCTGTGCACAATCTGTCCATCTGTTCTCCTATTAATTGCATGCCTCTGTGCAGCAGATTATTTTATTGTTTACTCAAGGGTGCTGCAGATAATGTTATCAACAAAATTCCACCTGAAGACAGATGTCCGTCTCGCTTCATCACATACTAATTTTAAAAAGCTAATTGGCTGATTTGTTTCAATTTTCTTTTTTTTTTTTTTAAACGAACACACAAACAGGACATCAGAACGTCCCTCCTCATCAATCGTTGAGTCTAAAACACTGAATTCCCAATCTCTTGTCACTTTCCTGAATTTCCTATGAGTATTGCCCAGCTGCTCAGCTGTTAGCCAGCTGTTGCCCTAGCTGAGGGCTGTCAGGATGTTTTATTAGACAAGACAATTGGCTCTTGAAAAAGAGGAGAGGACAGCAGATTAATAAACACAGGCCTGTGATAGATGTGAAAAAGTTAATTCAGATAAAAAAAACGACTTTTTGTGAACTTTGTCTGCCACAATGTGAGCCCCCCACAGTTCATTATTTATTTAACATGGCCACTTCATTAATATTGTTCTCTTCAGCCTCATTAATAATGTAAGCAGCCACTCTATAATCCATTAATATCACTTCCCTAGGAGAGTTTTTTTTTTTTTTTTTTTTCTGTGAAATCGCCCATTTTAGTGAGTCAGATTACAAACAGATTTACAAAGAAGCAGGTCAAGGAGGGGCTATCACGAAGCTGGAATCCTTACATGATTAAACAGAAGCCAATATGAAAACTTAAAGGGCATGTGTGCCTGCAGGCTTGTGTGCTCGCACACAGCCATTGTGTGGCACAACAATAATGCCATGTAAGGACACAATTATTTTGTCTGAAAAAATGCTACTTGCAGTTATTCTCGCTTGCTTTTAAATGTCAAGAAATGCCATCTTCAGCCAAAAATGTACAGACAAATAAACTGCAGAGGTTCAGACAAACTGCTATGTTAGCGTTGAGAGCATGTTTAAACCTTTGAGAAAGAATTACATATATATATATATATATATGTAATTTTTTTTTTTTTTTTTTTTTTTGCTCTGGAGGTGCAAAAAGCATGCAATTTAAAGAGTGCTTCACTCATTATAAATAAATAAATGCAGAAGAGCACAATTGTATCTACAAATCAGCTGTGTACTGGGATATACGAGTCATTAAAAATAAATTAAAATAAAATAAAAAGGCCAATGGCGGAAACACTGCAAAATCAATCCTGGTGCGAGAGAGGCAACCTGAGCCAGACAACAGATAGGTGGCAGAGACAGTGAAACTGGTCCCTCTGTTGGAATTTACTGGTAATACAAGGGTTGGACACGTGATCCTCGCCCCCATCCACCCAGGCATTTTCATTAAGCCAAAACACTAAAGCATAATCCCATCTATGAGTGTGTGTGTGTTTGAGCCAGAGAAAAAGAAGAGAGGGCAAAGACATCAGCCTGAACCGATCATCAACGTCTCCATCCGTTATAACACAGTGGAGAAACCTACATATACAAAAGAAAGGCATGAAACAAACAAACAAAAACTACCAGTAGATGAATCGGTTATTTGAAATAACTGAATAAACAATCCAAACAGTGATAATGAACAAGTGCATTTAATGAAATAAACCTGTTTACCATATACATGTATCTGTTGTCGCACACTTCAGATGGTGTTAAAGTGTCAGCAGTGTACATAAAAATCCCACACAAACTACAACATCCTATCTTTAAAGGTCCATGCAATGGTATGTCCCCCAAACACCCTTTCTTGTAGTCTTGTATTCAAAATGTACCCAAATAAACACTGAAAAAGTGCAAACTAAAATGTGCTGCAACAAAAGATTGGCTTATTATACTCCATGACAAAATTGTGTTCTCATACATTTTTTTCTACAAAGATGAATTGTACCATCCTAAAATCCCCCAAAACTAAAATCCCACAGTAACCACAATCCTTTTACTCAGGTGCATACATCAAACATGATGAGAAGGCATTCTGTGTTTGTTCTCATCCCATGTGTACCTTTCTTTCAAAAGTAAAAGGGCATGAGAGAACAACAAGCAGCACAAATCCCTTCCCATGGGAGCCAGTGAGAGTTAAATAACCCGTTGGTTGTCTCGATTCAGCCTTGGATCAAACAAATTCTGGTTATGGTACCAAACAATGCTATCAGGA